TTTTGAAGTTAAAAGACCCTAGTGATAGTCATGTCAGTATCATTTGTTTCCTCCTAGTGGCAAAATGGTTATTTTCTTATTTTAATATTTCTTCCACATTTATTAGCAGTTCTATAAAGAAGACCTTTACTTCATCTGAAATACATTTTGTATGAGGGACTGCCAAGTAATTTTATACTATTGTGTTCTTGATAAAGGATAATGAGTTTGAATCAGAAAAAAAGGAATTGAATTTATCTTTTGTTTTAATTGGTGTTACGATAAAATTCTGAGTACTACAGCAAAATGTGGGTGATTGCTTTTCTTTACAAATGAGATGTGTTTACCCATTGCTCTGAAAGTTAAAGGTGGAGATATATAAAAACTGTTTTATACTGGAATCAAGCAGTGAAGAGGAAAGAATACTAGATTTGGGATTAAAAAACTGAGAGATCTCTGGAACTAATTTGGCTCTACTCCTAAATGTCTGATCCATTTATTCTGCATAGACTGGGGTGAGGAATATATAAAATATTGTCAGTGTTTTCATGAAATTATTTGTAGACTAAAGAAAACAAGATTATGTGTTATGAAATTAATGCTTACAATGTTTAAAGTCAGGGAGAATTCTCTACTGAATATTCTTTTAACTTAAATTACACTTTATCGGAGAAAGTTCTAATGATCATAGTTTCTCATAATACCTCTTGTTTAACTTCATGGCTTCACATTTTTATTCAAACAATTACTGAATAAGTTATGCTAAATAAAGCCTTACTTATTTGGCCTTCATTGTATCTTAGACAAATTAGTTTTTAGTCATCTTCTGAATTTGTGTATTCTGGGAAAAGTAAAGTTGATATCATGAAAATTAAACAGGTCAGTGTTCTTAGATTAGTGACCATTTCTAGTCAATCTCTAAACATTATTTGAGAAGGCCATTAAAAGTATATGCTAGTGTGATTTCTCCTTAGGTAAACTTTTGCTATGATTATGCTGTTTATTTAAAAATGATAATACTATGGGTCTTTTCTGAATGATAAAGAATGTCATTATAAAGGAATATCTCAAAAGATCATAAATAAGAACAGTATACTTATTCTAGTCTGTTGAGCTAAGCATAAAAGCTGATTATTCCTCACTGGAACACTAAAATGGTTTTAGTGCTGAAAATTACATTTCCTGTTGAATTAAACAGATGCTTGTAGAACATCTACTGTGTGCAAGTCATTAAGCTAAGTGTTCAGTAGTAGAGTTGATTGCAATATTTGATTGAAGATGGAAAGAGACTTCTAAAAGTTGTGTTTCAACTATGTTGTCTCATCCTAACTTAATACAGCCAATAGTTTTTGGGCTTGGCTTCTTCATGCAGCCTTTGTCCTATTTTCTTGTTAAGTGCTGTGTGGGCTAGAGAGTGGTGAGCACAGGGATTATTGGGGTTGAAGCTCTGCCCTTTGGAGGCCCCAAAACATATATTCTCCTTTTCTGTCCTCTGCCAGAAACAATAGTGGTTTTTGTCTGTTTAGGGATATTTCAATTATTTCATCCAGTATGCTGCTTGGATTTACCATCTTTATTCATATTAATACCAATTTATTGAATATCTTTTAAGTACCAGGTATTGTTCAGTCTGAATTTATAGGCATTCCACATCTGTCACATGGGTAAAACAGATTAAAATCATTGTATTATTTCGGTGAATTTAGAGTTAGAATAAAGAAGTGGTTATAAGCCCTAGCCAGTTTGGCTCAGTGGATAAAGCATCAGCCTGCTGACCAAAGGGTCCTGGGTTTGATTCTGGTCAAGGGCACATACTTTGGTTGCAGGCTCCTCCCCGGCCCTGGCTCTAGTCGGAGCTGGTATAGGAGGCAACCAATCGATGTGTTTCTCTCGCATTGATATTTCTGTCTTTCCCTCTCTCTTCCCCTCCCCTTAAAAATCAATGGAAAAATGGCCTGGCATGAGAATTAACAAAGTGATTTTAAGAAGTGTTTCTCTGCTACTGTTGAAGTATTCTTCCCTGGTATAGTGCTTTCTAGCAGGCCTGTAATGTCTTAAGTATTTGACATTCACCAGCATACCCTGGATATGGCAGGAAATGTATACATATAATCTCTGCTTCTCTACAGATATGTACTAATACCAGCTCCTTTTAAATCATTTAATACTGCTAAAACCGGTTTGGCTCAGCAGTAGAGCGTCGGTCTGCGGACTGAAAGGTCCCAGGTTCGATTTCGGTCAGGGGCATGTACGTTGGTTGCGGGCACATCCCCGGTTGGGGGTGTGCAAGAGGCAGCTGGTCGATGTTTCTCATCGACGTTTTTAGCTCTCTTATCTCTCTCCCTTTCTCTCTGTAAAAAATCAATAAAATATATATATATTTTTTAAAAATCATTTAATACTATTGTCTCTAATATTTTATGTAAATATTTAGGCAAATATTGGTCAAATACATCATTTAAATTTATTTTAAATACAAAAGGATATATCTATAGATATGACAGTCCTCCCTATGGTGCTTGTCCTCTCACCAAAAGCAGCTTGCATTATCAATTCTTAAATATTCTTTCAGGGATAGTTTATGTATATTTAAGCAACTTTTTGTATTCTTTAGTAGTGACATCTATCAAATCCAACTAGTAATAGATGTTAGTAGCCAAAACCAGTTTGGCTCAGTGGATAGAGCGTTGGCCTGCAGACTGAAGGGTCCCAGGTTCGACTCTGGTCAAGGGCATGTACCTTGGTTGCGGGCACATCCCTGGTAGGGAGTGTGCAGGAGGCAGCTAATCAATGTTTCTCTCTCTCATTGATGTTTCTAACTCTCTATCCCTCTCACTTCCACTTTGTACAAAAACAATAATATATATATATATTTTTTAAATAGATGTTAGTAGTTTTATCAGTGACATGATGCTGTGGGCTGAGCTGCAGAGGCTTCACATCTACCCCTGATTGTTAATACCAACATATAAACTTCCATCTAATTCTCTCAGGCTCAGGTTATTGCAGTAGAGCCAGGAGCTTCTGGGACAACTTCAAGCGTACCAATATCCGAATTATGGGGGTGCCAGAAGAAGAAGAGAGCAAGATACTGAAAACCTATTTGAAGAAATAATGACCAAAAATTTCCCCCACCTGGTGAAAGAAATAGACTTACAAGTCCAGGAAGCGCACAGAACCCCAAATAAAAGCAATCCAAAGAGGATCACACCAAGACACATCATAATTAAAATGCCAAGGGCAAAAGACAGAGAGCATATTAAAAGCAGCAAGAGAAAAACAGTTACCTACAAGGGAGTACCCATACCATTGTTCAGCTGATTTCTCAACAGAAACTATGCAGGCCAGATGGAAGTGGCAAGAAATATTCAAAGTGATGAATAGCAAGGACCTACAACCAAGATTATTCTACCCAGCAAAGTTATTCAGAATTGTAGGGCAGATAAAGAGCTTCACAGATAAGAAAAAGCTAAAGAAGTTCATCACCACCAAATCAATATTATAGGAAATGCTGAAAGGTATTCTTTAAGAAGAGGAAGACGAAGAAAAAGGTGAAGATAAAAATTATGAACTACAAATAACTATAACAAATGAATCTAAAAGTTAAGTGAATTAAAAATCTGAGGAGCAGAATAAACTAGTGAATATAATAGAATCAGGGGCATAGAAAGGGAGTAGACTGACAATTCTTAGGGGGAAAGAGGTGTGGGAAGAGACTGGACACAAATCATACACCTAAGGATGAGGATAGTGGTGGGGTGGGAACCGGATGGAGGGGAGCTATGGGGGGGGGGACAATTGTAATAATCTAAACAATAAAAATTTATTTTTTAAAAAGTCACTGTGTTTAGTTCAGTTGTCTTAGTGTATATTTTGCAGCTATTTTTTTCTTAGAGTGCTCACTGCTCAGAGCTGAGTGTTATGTCAGTTCTTTTTAAAGATTTATTTGTATTAGGCAGTTGGTTGTATCTTTCCTAAAAAAATTTTTCTAGGTTCAATCCAAAATAAATACAGATGCCCCTTGACTTACAATGGACTTACATCCCAATTAATCCTTCATAAATTGAAAATATCGTAAGTAAATAGTGCATTTAATACACCTAACTTACTGAACATCATAGCTAAGCCTGCCCTACCTCAAACCTGCTTATAACATTTACATTAACCTTCAGTTGTGCAATTATCTTGAGTTTCATCTCAGGCATAATTGTCTTCCTTTTACCAGCAGCAGAGACACAGATAAGCATTTTGTAGACAAGATGAGGTGTAAAAACACAAAACATGCCCAGCCAGCATCATGGCTCAGTGGTTGAGCATCTATCTAGGAACCAGGAAGTCATGATTTGATTCCAGTCAGGGTACAGTCCTAGGTGGTGGGCTTGATCTCCAGTGTGGGGTGTGTAAAGGCAGCCAATTAATAATTCTCTCTCATCATTGATGTTTCTATTTCTCTCCTCCCTTCCTCTCTGAATTTCCTGGTGAATTTCTTGTGACTCCATTTCTTTCAGAATAAGTGGACCAAATCTCTCATGTTTAGCCTCGGGGAGGGGTCTTATTTTCGGGGGATGCCTTATATTTCACTCAGAAGGAAATCTGTAAGTAGGTCTTATTTTTGGAGGATGTCTTATTTTCAGGGAAATACAGTATAATTGAAACATTGTAGCCTTCAATGGAGGCCAGGGCTGCAGGAGCTTGGCTTCCTCCATTGCTGGGGAAACCCAAGCCTTCTGCTCTCTCTGTGGCTGCAGCCATCTTGGTTGGGTTAATTTGCATACTTGCTCCTGATTGACTGGTGGATGTGGTTTGTGGGTGTAGCAGAGGTACGGTCAGTTTTCATATTACTCTTTTATTAGACAGGATAGGGTTTGGTACCCTTCAGGAATCCACTAAGGGTCTTGGAATGAATAGTATACCCCAAAGATAAAGAAGTACTACTGTACATGTACAAAGATGATGCTGTCTTGGTTCTTAGTCTTTATAACCTAATTTTTAAAATTCTTTTTTCCCCCCACAGTTCATCCATGAGCTCGGATTTCCCACATTACAACTTCAGGATGCCTAATATTGGATTCCAGAATCTGCCTCTCAACATATATATTGTGGTTTTTGGAACTGCTATATTTGTCTTCATCCTTAGTTTACTCTTCTGTTGCTACTTGATAAGGTAATCAATTTTCATTCTATGTTACTTTAGAATATGTTAATCAATAATAAATTAACTTTCTCCCCTTAGGTTAAAAACATTTTATAAGTATTGTTGGGAAGGAAGAAAATTTCCTCTTCTAGGCACTTTCAGCTGGTCTAATTAAACCTCAGACTATAAAAAATTTTATAGTGTATTATTCAAAGAGCTTTATGGAATAAAATAATAGCAAATTAAATTTTATTAAACAGCTATACATCTGATAGTTTTTAGTGTTTGTACAGTATATGATTATGGGTAAGATAAATACGGTCATCAGATATCTTTCAGCAATAGTTCATTATTGCCCCCAGTGTTCCAGGGTACTTATTTACTGACAGTCAAATCTGATTGAATTTAGTGTATAGTTCTAATTTTCTAATTTTCTAACAAGGGAATTTATATTCTTCATATAAGGTGAATCTTCTTTGAAGTTCTCACAAAATGTAATCATTCCTTGTATTTTATAGATATGCTCACAAAATGTAATCACTCCTCGTATTTTATAATATATAAAATACTCTTTGTATTTTATAATATATAAAATATTCCTTGTATTTTATAGTCATTAGTTACTGCCTATGATTTTTTTTATCTTGCTTAGAGAAATAAATACTTAGCTAATATAATTATAGGATTTAGGAAACACTTTTTTAAAAAAATCTATTTATTGCCGAAACCAGTTTGGCTCAGTGGATAGAGCGTCGGCCTGCGGACTGAAGGGTCCTGGGTTCGATTCTGGTCAAGGGCATGTACCTTGGTTGCGGGCACATCCCCAGTAGGGGGTGTGCAAGAGGCAGCTGGTCGACGTCTCTCTCTCTCATCAATGTTTCTAACTCTCTATCTCTCTCTCTCTTCCTCTGTAAAAAATAAATACATTAAAAAATAAAAAATAAAAAAATAAATTTTAAAAAATCTATTACTAGAAATTTCCTTTTCCTAACATTTTTTTCATTAATAGTTTAATAAATGCTATGTAAATATTTAGCTTTTTTTTAAAAAAAATTAGGGAATTGGCCATAATTAAACAGGACTTCATAGCATTAAAATATTCTTGCATAGCATTAAAAAATTCCTAATTTTTTTTCCTAAAATTTTTTTTTGAAATTTCTCTACAAAGACTGGCTTAATTCAAATTTGGGGATTTAATATTTGAAACCAAATTATTTTTTAAAAGAAGACAAAAATATTTTAAAAGATTCATTAAGGAAGAGCTTATGTAAATATCCTAAAATGTATATAGGTCATAGTATAGTTTTTATTACCATATCAAAGAATCAATTACACCTTTGATTTTTGTTTACTTTAGGAAAAATACTAATATACCAATTGTGATTCTGGGTAAATTTTTTGAGACATAAGATATGAAACACTATTTTACCTCATTGTATTTCTTTCAGTAATCAAGCAAGCAAAAAGATTTTTAAAAAAAAGTCATAGCAGTTGTTTTCATGCTATGATTGCCCCATCGGTCGCCCCACAGAGGGAGGCAACCGGTGGCAGCAGGGGTTGGGGCTCCTGAGTGCCCCATTCTCCTCACAGATAGGCCCTGATCGCTGGCCAGGCCTAGGGACCCTACCCATATACGAATTTTATGCAACTTAGTTTTTAACTTAAGTTCTCCAGCATCTTTCTAGGGGGCTCTTCTGTTCTCATGCAGAGAGATCCCTCCAGTCACAGCTAGACTCATCAGAACCATTGAAGGAACACAGCTTAGATCTAAACTAGACACCCTCTACCAGCCACAGTCTTACACAGCATTTTAGTACAGAATCTGCTGCCCATGACAGGGCTGTGAATAGATTACTACGGGAACACAAAAGGACTCTTACCTTGCTAGGAGTTATCCTATTTTATAATGAATCATATAGTATTCTAATTGATGTTTGTTATTTATCTCTCTCCCCAGATAGAGTTTTGTCTATTCTGTTTGCTATATCCCAAACACCCAAAACTGAACAATATCTGGCACAATATTGGTACTCAATAAATGTTTGTTGAGTAAATGAAAGAATCGTGTTCCTAGTAGGAAGTCATTAATTACACACTGAAAAATAAGAATAAAATTAAAAACTAAAAATGGAAGGAAGCCGAAACCGGTTTGGCTCAGTGGATAGAGCGTCAGCCTGCGGACTAAAGGGTCCCGGGTTCGATTCCGGCCAACGGCATGTACCTGAGTTGCAGGCACATCCCCGGTAGGGGGTGTGCAGGAGGCAGCTGATCGATGATTCTCTCCCATTGATGTTTCTAGCTCTCTATCCCTCTCCCTTCCTCTCTGTGGAAAATCAATAAAATATATATATTTTTTAAAAAGAATAAAAATGGAAGGAAAATATTGAGTTATCTAGTAGATACTATAAAGTCTTGAACCAAGACAATGACAGCAGAGCTAGAATGTATGTGTGTTATGGATGGTTGTGAAAAATATCGGGGAGGTAAAAATGAACAAAATTTGATGACTGGGCATTAAGAACAATAAAATTATGAGCTTAGAATTTTTTCCTTAGCTGTTGGTTGGATAGCAATCCCTTCACAGAGATAGAAAATGGATGGCCAAATTGGGTGAAAGGATAAAAGTTTGTTTCACACATGGGAGAACTATCTTCCCTGTGAAACAGTCAAGGTGTTAAGTATATATAATAGTTGGATATATAGGTCTAAAGCTTATTCGAAGTCTGGTCTGAAAATAGAGGGTCATGTAATAATAGGTGGAAGCTGAAGCCAAGAATGTCCCCTAGAGAGAATGTGTATAGTGAAATAAAATAGATGCAGGACAAAATCCTAGGGAAACGTGAATATTTAAGAAGAGCCCTTGGCCTGGCCAGGTTGCTCAGTAGGTTGGAACGTCATCCCAATACGCCAATATGTGGGTGTGATCCTGCATATAAGAAGCAACCAATGAACGCATAAATATGTGTCACAACAAATCGATGTTGTTTTCCCCCCTCTCAATTCTACTTTTAAAAAAAGAAGAACCTATAAAAGAGACTAGGAAGGGATAGCAAGAGAAAGAAGAAAATCATGAGAGGTTCCCCACGAGTAGGGTTACAGTGGATTGAGTCAGTTGTGTCAGCTCCTCCCAAGAAGGTCTGGTAAACAAGAAATTTGTTAATCAACTGTTTACATTATCAGTAAGGCTTCTGGTCAACAGTAGATTATTAGTAATTAAGTTTTTGTGGAGGAAAAAGTTATATGTGGCTTTTCAATTGTGCAGGAAATCAACATCCCTAACCCCTGCATTGTCCAAGGGTCAGTTTTACATTTGACAATTAGGTTAACATGCATAATCTTATAAAAGTTTCAATAGCATGGATATAGGGGTGATAGAGGGTAATTTATATTGAGGCAAAGCTCCAATCTGGGATCCCTCAGATACTCCTCTCACAATCCAGGACTGCTGGCTCCCAACTGCTCACCTGCCTACCTGCCTGATTACCCCTAACCACTTCTGCCTGCCAGCCTGATCATCTCTAACCATTCCCCTGTCAGCTTGATTGATGCCTAACTGCTCCCCTGCTAGTCTGAGTGCCCATAACTACCCTCCCCTGCTGGCCTGGTCACCCCTAACTGTCCTCCCTTGCCAGCCTGGTCACCCCCAATTACCCTTCCCTGCAAGCCTGGTTCCCCCCAACTATTCTCCCTGCAGGCCTGGTCACCACCAACTACCCTCCCCTGCTGGCCTGATTGCCCACAACTGCCCTCCCCTTCAGGCCATCTTGTGGCAGCCATCGTGTGTCCACCTGGGGGCTGCCATTTTGTGTGTTGAAATGATGGTCAATTTGTATATTACCTCTTTATTAGATAGGATGATAGTACTCCTGAAAGCAATCTACAGATTGCCTATCAAAATTCCAATAGCCTTGCCCTAGCCAAGTGACTTGGTTGCTTAGAGCATGATCCCATACACTAAAGAAAAAGTTGTAGGTTTAATTCCTGGTCAGGGTACACACTTAAGTTGTGAGTTCTATCTCCATTCGCGTTGTGGACAGGAGGCATCCACCAGTGTTTCTCACATTGATGTCTCTCTTTCTCCATCCCTCCCTCTCTTTTGCTCTCTAAAGTCAATAAACATATCCTCATGTAAGGATTTTAAAAATCCCAATTTTTATGCAAAAATAGAGAGACTGATCCTCAATTTATTTGGAACTTTAAGGAGCCCTGAATAGCCAAAACAATATGGGGGGGGGGGGGGGGGAGACAACAAAAATAAACCAGGAAGATTCACACATCCTAATTTCAAAGCTTCCTACAATAATTAAAACATTGTGGTACTAGCATAAAAATAGACATATAAGCCAATGAAATAGAATTGAGAGTCCAGAAACAAATGCAAACATCTGTGACCAATTGATTTTCAGTAAAAGTACCAAAACCATTTAGTGGGGGAAAAGAATAGTCCCTTCAATAGATGGCAGGACAACTAAATAATACATGTGAAAGAATGAAGTTGAACCCCTACCTCACATTTTATATAAAAATTTACTCAAAAATAGATAAACCTAAAAATAACAGCTAAAACTATAAAATTCTTGGAAGAAAATAGGTAAATCTTTAGGAAGTTGGACTGGTAATAGATTCTCAGATTTGACACCAAAAGCCCAAACAACAAAAGAAAAAGTAGATAAATTGGACTTAAATTTAAAATATTTTTGCATTAAAGGACATTATCAAGAAAGTGAAAAGACAGCCTTTAGAATGGTTGAGTTTAACACCCAGAATATATTTTTTAAAACTCTTACAGCTCAGCAACAAAAAGACAACTGAATTGCCCAGCCTGTGTGGGTCAGTGGTTGAGCGTCAACCTATGAACAAAGAAGTCACAGTTCTATTCCCAGTCAGGGCACATACCCAGCTTGCAGACTTGATCCCCAGTAGGGGGTGTGCAGGAGGGAGCTAATCAGTGATTCTTTCATCATTGATGTTTCTATCCCTCTCCCTTCCTCTCTGAAATCAATAAAAATATACATATTTTTTAAAAAGAC